GTGTGTGTGTGTGTGTGTGTGTGTGTGTGTGTGTGTGTGTGTGTGTGTGTGTGTGTGTGTGTGTGTGTGTGTGTGTATGCGTGTGTATGTATTTGTGTGTGTATGTATGTATGTGTGTGAGTGTGTGTGTGTATATGTATGTATGCGTGTATTTGTGTGTATGTGTGTGTACGTGTGTATTTGTGAGTGTATGTATGTTTGTGTGTGTGTGTGTGTATATGTGTGTGTGTGTGTGTGTGTGTATATGTGTGTGTGTGTGTCCTTGTTACTGCATCAGAGTGAGAACCAAAAACTATTTTTTAACCAACAAGTGAGGTCTTTTTTGGAAAGTGAGGACAATTTCCTTGTCACCACTTTAGTGTGTGTGTGTGTGTATGTGTATGCATGTGTGTATTTATGTATATGTGTTTGTGTAGATGTGTGTGTGTGTGTGTGTGTGTGTGTACATGCATGTGTGCGTGTAGGTTGTGTGTGTCTGTGTGTGTGTGTGTGTGTGTGTAAACCTATGATGAAACTGAACTTGATCCTTGATAACGTCCTGAAACAGGATAGTGTCCCAGCCCTCCATGTCTCTGTTTCCTGCTCCTGAATTATTACTTAATTATTATTAATTAATACAATCGACTGTGTTATCAGTTTGTCTTTGGCCCCTCTGCATTTATATATATATATTTATATATATAAATATATACTTATATTTGTTCAGATACCCGGCATAGTGAGGAGAAGCAGAGCTTTTAGTTTATGAGCTTAATTCATAAAAGTAAATTCAACTTTTATAGCTAAACTGGTCGTACAATTTAGCTTTTTCACACTTCCATTTCCATAATAAGCTTTTATTTAGCAACATATAATTCAAATTTATTTGAAAAATGGGGGGGAAAATTAGCTATTCAGGGTTGTGTGCAGCAGTGGAGATTAAATAAGTTATTATAAAGTTATTTAGAGCCTGAATGCAGCAGACATAATTGTTTCTGATAACCTTAAAAGAAGTACGCTGTTTGTTTTTTTTAATACTTCTTCTATGGTTTCGGTGTCTATAGATAAATTAACGTATTATATGTATAGTTTTTTTTAAAGTTGTGTTATTTACTTTTTTTTGCTTGTATTTCTTTTTCCATGTTTAAATAGGTTTTGCTTATTTATTTATTTATTTATTCATTCATTCATTCATTCATTTGTATTTATTTATTTATATTTTAGTATTTAATTAGTCTATTTTTTTAATTTCTTTGTGGGTTAGGTTAGTTTTGAGCCCACGGAACAGTTTCTTTGAGACTTTTGGTTAAGTTTATTATCTGTTAGTTCTTTGTAAAAATGTTTTAATTAAAAAACCTTTTAGGTTAATGTTTTATTTGTGTGTGTTTCTTTTTATGTCAAATTATGTGAATCAGATGTTGTTGGGCAAGTTTTAAATTCATGCATTAAAGTAAAAGTTAATGCACAATATCTAAATATGTCTTTATATAACCATTTTATGCTATATTCTGTGTGTTTATTATTCTTTTTAACTATATATCTGTCATTTTTATTGAGTTTTAAAACAACTTTAGCATCACACACTTCACATTTTCTTTTTATGTTTATGTTTCTGCATTTGTCAGACGCTTTTATCCAAAGCGACTTACAGAGTAGACACAATATTCCATTTCTCATCACTATGACATTTTTTTTTTTCAGTATTACATGAAAGCTGGGGCTATTGTTCAGGAGGACATTTCAGAAGCTTCTCTGATAATTGGAGTGAAAAGGCCTCCGGAGGAAAAAGTCATTCCCAGGAAGACGTACGCGTTCTTTTCTCACACCATCAAAGCTCAGGAGGCAAACATGGGGCTCCTGGAGGATCTTCTCAAGAAGGTAAACCAGTACTGGTCCACTAACTATAATAGTAGTTTAATAATAATAATAATAATAATAACATAAATGATAATAATAATAATAATAATAATGATAATAATAATAATACTAATGATAATAATAACAATAACAATAACAATAATAATAATAATAATAATAATAATAGTTTCTTCTACATTCTGACCTTTGCAGCATATAATTGTAAAATTAAACATACGCAATTATTTACAGAATTGGATAAACTGAATTCCAAAGTAATTGCCAGTTAATTAATTGTTAATGGTAACTTACCAGAACAAAATTATATATTCAGGACAGACAGTGATTTACACTAATCTGGACCAAGACGACCTGAAATTACAGAAAATGAATTAAATAGTATTTTAATCCTGTTTATTTGGTTCCTTTTGTGTGTTGCTAGCTATAAGCTATAAGCTAGCTATAAGCCTACCAAAAGCGGTTTCTTTGTGGAATCTAAAATATGCTATGAATCATAACAAAATGTTCAAGAAAATTTGAAATACTTTAAATAATTAGGCAGTGTAAAATATTAATAAACAGAATGCATTTATTTGTAATTTGTTTTCAATCCTTTTTTCAAACTTAATGTTCCAACTGTTTATTTTAATTAATTTTTGTCTGAAACTTGTTCTACCAAAGCTGTTAGATGACACAAAAAGCTATAATGAAGGTGATTTTGTCATTTTTGTCATTTTTTTCACTTTTTTTATCACTTTTTATTTTCAAAAATGTTCACAACAAAAGAACATTCCCTGAGCCAAGAGCAATTAAATCAATAACAGAAATACTGATGCCACATATACAATATTTCAAAAATAAATGCAGCACAATAATATATAATAATAATAAACATAAATAATATAATAATATATATATAAATATAAATAATAATATTATAAATATATATATATGTTTATATATTTATTAATAATAAATAATATATAATAACAGTAAACCAAATAAACCAGATCACCTAAAACTTTGAATACCCTAAAAGAGAAAACTGCCCATATACAATACTATATGTATACACACAAACCCACACCCTCCCCTTTCCCTCCAGGGTGCCCACACACAGACCAAAAATGCAACATAAAGTAAACAAACAGCAAAAAATACATCTATAATATTTACACACATACATGTACACATACATACAGTATATATATAAACACATATACAAATACATACCCTAAGAATTCACTTGAATCACTACAGCCCAAATCATTGACACCAAATGCCATCTTTCCACTTTGAGTTGTCAACATGTGGTCATTTTTCCATCATATACAGTGGTTTTGTCTTTTTATAGGAAGTTCGTCTCATCGACTATGAGAAGATGGTGGATGCTAACGGTTTTCGGATCGTAGCCTTCGGTCAGTGGGCCGGAGTCGCAGGTACGAGAAAAGAGGATAAAAGTCTGTGTTTTGGCTAGTTAGCCTTCCCCAACATTGTTTTAAAAAAGGGAAAAAACACCAATAGTATCGGTCAGGTTTCAAACCAAGCTCTCATCATTTAAAAAAAAAAAAAAAAATGGAATATATGTTTTTATTCACGTGACAAGGTCAAGTAAAAACAATGAAAAGCAAGGATTTTTTTTTCTTTTTACAAAAACAACAACCACTCATTCCCTCCCTTCCCCAATCCTACAAGATTATGTTACAGATCAGTAATAATAACCCACATCCTTCCTTCTTACCGTACACAAACATGTGAATAAAAAAGTATATAGACAATAAAAAAAGAGAGAGCAGCAAGTACAACGCAAATAAATAAATAGAAAACACCACAAAATAAAACTGAGAAGTAACATTTTCAATGGGTTGAGATGAAGTAAGGAGGAAAAAAAATGTAATCAAAAGTCAGTTATCAAAAGTGGACATTTCATTTGTCCTGTAGTTGCTTTAATCCAGCTATGTAACTAATCATGCAGCCCAAAACTGAAACAAATTTTCCAGGTTTCCCCTCAGATCATGAAGCTCTCATCATTTTGTCGGTGAATATTTTAAAGATTAAAAGACTAAAATATTTTGTTTGCATGACAGTTTGAAAAACTGCTAAATGAAAACACATTTTCCAGATTAGAAATCTTGTTCAGTGCATGCAAAGTAAATATAGCAATCAGTAGAAAACATATTATAGAAATGAATACAATCTAAAAGCATCCTTACTTTTTATATTTAAAAATTGACTCTTTTTTTTTTTTAAATGTATAATTATTCTAATTGTTTTGCAGGAATGATAAACATTCTTCATGGACTAGGTCTTCGTTTCTTGGCCCTTGGCCATCACACTCCCTTCATGGTAAGAACACCTGCTGGAACAAATGTGTGGATTTATATTTATTTATTTCTGGGATTGCATACAGTATTTCATTTTGATAAAGGATTATTTTAAAACAGTTTAGATTAAGGTTGTCACGATAATAAAATGTTCAACTTGATACCGATACTCATACCCTAACCCATAACCCCAACCCTAACCCTACACCTTCATAATTGTGAGAAATAAATATTTTCTAAACTTGTTTGGACTATTTAACATCCACCATTTTAACATAATATTATGGATAGAGTTTAATTAAGTGTTTGAAAGATTCATTTCACTATTTTTAAATTAATGTCTATATTGCCATGAAGCAATTACCATTTTCTTGCCTGGGATCTTCCTATTGGTGAGCTAATCAAAATGGCCGACTTGGATGTGGGGGAGTTGGAAATCCATCCTTGGCTTCCTGCAGACTTGATTAATGTTGGCGTGTGGTTATTAGCCATTAGCTGCAGCTAGCAATTCAAGGCTAACGTCACGCTAATGATCATATGTAAATAAATAAATGTAAATAAATAATGTAAATAAATAAATCAGAAAGAGGGGGGTGGGGGTGGTATCGATACTTTAGAAAATGAGTATCGTATCCGGATACAATGTTTTAGTATCAATACTTTTGACAACCCTAGTTTAGAAGTATATTTCTTAGCTATCACTGCTAATGTATTTATTTATTTATTTATTTATTTATGGGTTTGCATACAGTGTTCAATTTTGATAAAAGATTATTTGAAAATAGTTTCTTATCTAAACTATCCTTACTAATAATGCTCTCCACAGCACATCGGCATGGCCCACAACTACCGGAACGTCAGCCAGGCGGTGCAGGCAGTGAGGGATTGTGGGTACGAGATCTCCATGGGCCTCATGCCAAAATCCATCGGCCCCGTCACGTTCTGCTTCACTGGAACCGGAAATGTCTCCAAGGTACTAAGATCCAAGCAAAAAACTCAAGCAAAAAACGTACATACATTAACTCATTGACTTGCAGCCATTTTCAGAACAGAGCCCCATACTGCCAGAGTTTTTGGATCATTTTGACTGATTTTTCGAGAGCCACAGAATAGTTTGTGCTATGACTATGTAAACACCGAACACACCAAAAGAAAGAGTAGACTCTCTTCTTTCATCAGGAAAAAAACATTTGTTTCTACTATAATTCCCTTCAAGCACGTGCAGACTCAAGTGGTTTTCTTCTACAGGTTTATTTGAAGTCCTTGGCAATCTCCAAATCCACCGTGAAAACTAGCAATATTAGCAAAACACAAACATCAATGATACAAACAATAACCTGCATTGCATAGAAAATTATATTTAAAGAGCAAACAAATAAATAAAATAAAATACCTCGTTGGCTGCATGCTGGGAGAAAAAAGGGAATTGTCCAAACTTTTATATTCCAGTACGCATTAGCCTTAACTTCAGACAATATTCTTCTTCTTCGGCATCTCTGCTTCTCGCGCGAGAGCTCAGAACAGGACTTAATTTCAAAATAAAAGCGCCGTTCTTTAAACTTAAAAAAAAAAGCAAATACACTCGATTCTAAATAATAAAATATAAAACAAATAAAACTTACATAAATTCCAATAAAACAAGTACCATTGAAAAGAATAACAAATTATAGACTTATAAGATTTAAACATATGTATAAAACAGTATGACAACAATGACATCTAGCTTATTCCGTTCTTCCTGGACTTGCGTCTCACCGGCGACATGTTCTCTCATAGAACCGTTCCCTTTTTCTTATTTGCCTACAGTCTATGCTCATCTCCCATCAAAAGTGGCACTGCCCCCTAGAGGCTCAATTTGTTACTACATACTCTGTCTAGAAGCCCATATTTACGGACTAGCTTTAGCAGATCGTCCCCCAGACACTCTCGTTAAAAACATAAAAGACGTCTATAGACGTCTTTGGCAGCCAATGAGTTAAAAGCTTTTTATGGAAACATTGATAAACTAAACTCTTAACATTTCCTTGTGATGCTTATATTGTATATTATATGTTCTTTCTTATGTATTTGCCTGCCTAGGGACTATGGAAGAAAAATAGCTTTGTAGCTATAATCCGGCATATTTACATTTGTTTTTATACTGATGTTCATTTACCCTGTAATGCCAAATATATCATATTTGATACGGTTTCTGAAATGTTTTGCGTCTGACACCTTTTGCATAATTTAATGGTAAAAACTTTGCTCAAAATCCTATTGTACACAATCAGATACACCTGATAACAGGGGGCAGAAGATACACAAAAAATAATCTTGACTTATCGCATAGTAATAAATTATTAATATGAAAAATGTATTTCTGTTTTTTCTTTTTACATAAAAGGGAAAAGGAATTCAAACAAAAAAAAAAGAAGTAATTTTCTGTTTTGTTTTATTCTTGGATCAGGCTTTAAAGGGTTAATGTGCTTTGTCCCTATTCAAATAAAAATGAATGAAAACAAATTTATTAGAAATTAAATCAAAGGGAATAAAACAACATGTACCATTTCTTCTCAGGGAGCCCAAGACATAATCAACGAGCTTCCTGTTGATTATGTTGAACCTCACGAGTTAAAGGACGTCTCTGAAACGGGAGGTATGGAAGTTTCTTACATCTGATGTCACACAGAAAATTTAAAAGGGACATATTATGCAAAACCAAGTTTTTAATCATGTGATTGAGTACATTTGGGACTGTGGAGGTACGTCTTCCTTGGTAGTTTCAAATATTTCCCATTCTGCTTCTGAGAGGAATATTCAGAATAGTCAGACTTCTGTATCAGTGTAAAATCTATAGTTTATAGTTTTATTTAATGAATGATGCAACTTTGCCAACTGTAGGCAATTTCCAGTCTAATTTCCAGTCATAGTTTTTATTTTATTTTATTTATTTATTCTTTTATTTAGTCTATTTTCCAGTTATAGTTTCAAATATTTCCCATTCTGCGTCTAAGTGAAATATTCCGAAAATAGACTTCTGTGTCAGTGTTAAATTATAGTTGCTTTTATTTAATGAATGATGCAACTTTGCCAACTGCAGTTGGCAAATTTTCCAGCCTAATTTCCAGTCATAGTTTTTTAAAATTATGACATTTTATTTATTTATTCTTTTTTTTTATTTAGTCTATTTTCTAGTTATAGTTTTTTTTTCTTTAGT